TGCCTGGGGGAATCTCTTCCTGAGTGAACTGTCCCCTTCACCCCCAGAGCTGCTGGGAGCCCCACCTCCTTGTGGCGTTAGGAGCCTTTCCCGCAGGGAGGCCTGGGAAGGAAGCCACCGCCTGCTGACCCTGGCCAGCTTGGTCACTCTGTGTTTGCTCAGCTGCAGGGTGCAGGTGGCAGGAGTGAAGTGCCGGCTGATGCGCTTTTAAAGGTGACAGGCCTGAGGAAATGGATGGTCGCTGGGGGCTGTTGCTCCACAGAATTGTTGGTTTAAGGATGACAAAGATCTGATACACCCACCATGGCGAAACCAGAGCAAAACAAAGAAAGACCAGACCGGAACAGGCCTGGCCTCCCTGGCTCTGGTCTGCCTGGGCTCTGAAGGTTTCCAGAAAGTTATGCCCCTGTTGCCTGGCCAGGATCCTGGCGCCCTGGAGCTCTGGGGTCAGCCAAGATGGAGGAAGTGCCCCAAGGCACCCGCCAGTCTAGGCATGAGCCAGGAAGGAGCAGGAGCAGCCTGGCTGGCTCACCGAGCTGGGGGGAGGGGGTTGGTGGAGAAGGGCGGGGTCTCCATCCCGGGTCTCAGCAGGAAGGTGGGTGCACTGGAGGTGTCTCCCAAGGAGAGAAGACACAAGGCCCTGGGAGGTCGGCAGGGAGGGCGGTGGAGTGCAGCAGGGGTAGTAGGGCCTGGCATCAAAGGCCTGGGTGTGAATTCAGGGCTCTGGCAGGAAACAGAGCTCACTCCAGATGGTTCCAGTGAAGCGACAACTTCACTGTGTGGGCAGTGTCCAGGGAACACTCAAGAGATGGTGATGCTTTCAGCGACTGGTAACAGAGGGACATCATGCCAACCCTAAACTGAAGGGACTTGGAGGGCAGGGGTGAGGGGGACACTCTAGCAGAACCCTTTGAGGGCTGGACTTTGAGGGCTGGACGCCCAGAGGAGGGCTGTCTGCAGTCACTGGTGGGGACTTGGCCTGGCCGGCAGGGAGGGGCAATAAAGGCCCACCTTGTGTCATTTCCTTCCTGACCCTTGCTAGCTGGCAAAGGGAGGTGGCCGAGCAGTTAGTAGGGACCACCTCTTAGGCCAGTGCAGGTAGGGGATGAGGGATGGAAGGATGGAGAACAACCTCTCTCCTGCCCCACAATGGCGACAGTCATGCTCACCCCTCAAGCACAGGGCCAGGTGGGTGGTGCTGGGCCCTTCAGGCAGGGGCTTCGGACTCCCTGTTTTTCTCTTTCTCAAACATACACACGCATGCTGCATTTCCTCATGTCTCCCTGCAAGGCTCTCGTAAGGAAGAAGGAGGGAACGTGCTCTGGGAGGGCCAAAGGGGACCCTGAGGATGATTTGTGGACCTGTCAGAAGGCTGTGGGTCACAGGGGCAGGCGTGCATCCCTTCACGGAGGTCCTGTTGACATGCTCCCTCTCCTCTCATCCTCATCAAGCTATCACTTCCCAATTGTTCAGGAGGATGCTGGTCTCACAGGGTGAGTTCCTTGCCCAATGATGCCTTGAAGCCAAGCTGTGTCCATAAGGATGGGCTGGGTTCTGCTGCTGTAACAACCCCCCTGATCTCAGTGGATCAAGGCAGCCAAGGTTTAGTATCCAATCATGGTACATATCTACTCGGGGTGGCCTGGGGACTCAGCAGTGCATGACTGGCCCCAGGGAAAGAGAAGCCTTGGTGGGTCTCTTCCTCAAGATTAAGTGCATGGCCTGGAAGTCACACACCCCGTCTCCCATTACAACTCAGTGTTGTAGAGTCTCTGCATGACTTTAACCAAGCACAGGACATCAGCTGGACAATCCTCCTAGGCATCTGGAGGGTGGGGAGCTAGAATGCTTAGATGAATGGCATTGCTGCTACTATGTGAGCCATGGATTTACTTAGAGCCTAGGAAATTCCAGGTCCAGAGCTCTTTCCATGCTCCACAGGTGACCCTGGGCTGGAAGAGGCTGGTGGAGTTTCATGGCGAGGTGGAAAGGCTGGGTCAGGGTTGGTCTCAGATCCCTTGCAGGCCTCCTGAGGCCACCTAAGCAGAATGCCTGGGAAGTCCTGGTGTTGAGATAGCCCTGGGTAGTCAAAGAAGTTCAGAAGAGGCGGAGTATGTGGAGGGGAGGAGACAAGGTGTCTTGGTCCATTTTGTGTTGATCTCTCTCTCTCTCTCTTTCTCTCTCTCTCTCTCTCTCTCTCTCTCTCTCTCTCTCTCTTTATATGTGCATGCATATACCTGAGACAAGGTAATTTATAAAGAATAGAAGTTTTCTTGGCCCACGCTTCTGGAAGGTGGGAAGTCCAGGAACATGGTACCAGCATCTGGTGAGGGTCTTCTTGCTGCATCACGACATGGCGGAAGGCATTGCATGGTGAGACAGCAGACAGGCTAGCTTGAGTCTCTCTTCCCTTTTATAAAGCCACTAACACCAACATGGAGCCCCCACCCCTCACGACATTTAATCCTAATCACCTCCCAAAGGCCTCGCCTTCAGGTACCATTAACCTGTGGATATGGGAGTAAGTTTCCGAGACACGTGAGCCTGAGGGACACGTTCCAACTGCACAGAGGCCGGGAGCCTCCCCCTGGGTTTCCATCTCCAGTTTCTCTTGGCCTGCTGCCTGCACATGGTCAACCCTCCGCTGTTCCTGGAGGCAGATCCCTCTCTGAGGCTGTCTTTCCAGCTGTGTGTGCTCTTGGCCAGGCTGGAAGTGTCCTGAAGAGCCACATGAGGTCATCGAATCGGTTTTGTTCAAGCTGCTGGAAACCTGGCAGCACAGGCCCTTCTCCTCCCATGGCCCCTTACTGCATCCAGAAGGAATCCGTGTTCCACTCGGGCCACAGATGCAGGAGGCAGAGCAGGGAGAGTCGAGGCAGGGCGTTCCGCAGAGGGAGGCGAGCAGCAGAGCCAAGTGGACCTTTCTGGAAGCCCTGCTCCGTGCCTGACCCCGGCTGCTCTCACGTGCCTCAGCTCCTGTTGCGACACCACCTGCTACCCATTTCCCACCATGTCAGTCTCTTGAGGACGTGACCTTGGCTCCCCTGGGAACTCCGCTCCCTCACTGCCCAAGCCGTGAATGGCTCCATCTTGCCCTGCCCTGCGGACGCACCCCACACGGGGGATCCCTTCCTATTTGCTTGAATGTTCTTCCCCTGGGGGTTTCTAGGTCCCCCCACTCTCCACCTCCCCCTCTTCCTCAGCCTCTTTCATGGAAACTTCTTCTACCTGGGGCTCCCTGGGCCAGGTATAGCCAACTGACTCCTCATCTCATCCCTGCCACGGGCTGCCCACAGTCCTTCCTTAGAAGGACGATTAGAACCTAGACCTCCTTCCTGCAGGTTGGAGACGTTCATCCATTGGCAGGGTTGAACCATCTCCTTGAAAACAACTGTTTTCATCAGATGCTTTGTGACTGTGACCCAAAGACCTGACAAGGACAGTTTTAGAAGAGGAAAAAATTTATTTGGTGCTCTTGGTTTTAGAGGTCTCAGTTCATAGATGGCCAGCCCTGTTGTTCTGAGTCTGAGGTGAGCAGGACATCGTGGCAGAAGGGTATGGAGGAGGAAAACCACTCAGGACCTGGCAATCAGGAAGGAGAGAAGCAGGGCGGGAGGAAGAGAGAGAGAGGTAGAGTGAGGTGTCGGGAGAGAGAGAGAGAGGGAGGGAGGGAGGGAGGGAGAGAGAGAGAGAGAATGCTAGCACTCTACTCACCGGGGGACAAAGTACCTATTATAAAAGCCACACCCCCAGTGACCCACCTCCTTCAGCCACATCCTACCTGCCTACAGCCACCACCCAGTTAATCCCTATCAGGGGATTAATGCACCAATTAGGTAAAGGCTCTCAGAACCCAGTCATTTTGCCTCTATGCTTTCTTGCATTGTCTCACGCATGAGCTTTTGGGGACACCTTATATCTACACTATAACCATGTCCCACGGCTCTGACAGTTGAACCTAGGCCTCTTCCCCTAAGTTTCTCCAGCAAGTCTTGTGTTAGTGAATGGCCTGCTGTCTCATCGCTGTGGCAGCCATCAACCTAGGAGGCTCCCTAGCTTCTGTCCTCTGCCTCACCACACACAGGTCCTGAAGCCTCCTCTCCACAGCCCCCGCCGCCATTTCTAGGCTCTCTGGCACCTTGTTCTCCCCAATCCATGTCCTTGTTCAATGGGGATTTCTGAAACTCTGGTCCTGGAATTCCCTTTTCCTGGAATTTCCTGGAATTCACACTTTCCAGGCTCCCTTTAGCTAGGAGTCCTAAGGGGACTTGTGGCACCTCTACCGTCTGCTCTGCATCTCCTCCAGCCTCCCAGCTCAACTCCATACCTTGCTCACACTCTCTCCTTCTCTGGAAGGCTCATCCCTGCTCATCTTTCCTGACTCAGCTGAGGCATCCTCTCTCATAGGAAATCCTCCCTGAGCAGCCCCTAAAGTGAGTGCCGTGTAAGCGGGCCACGTGGGGGAGAGGTAGGGGCTGTCTATCTGCCTCTCACCTGGGTGTTCTTGGGGACAGTCTTGGCCCAGAGCCTGACAGAAGGCTTTGTGCTCATGTGGCAGTCAATTGTGTTTTATGAATGAATAGACAAGTGAGCTGCCATGTCCCCAGAGGCCCCCGACTGTGGTCTCCAGCCCTCAAGGGAACTTGGTAACCATAGGGCTCACTCCTTCATTCCACAGGTGGGCGATGTGAGGCTCAAGGAGGTAGGTGCAGGGCAAACCAGGCGGTGGAGAGTAGGCCTAGGTCCGTGACCTTCCAAAGTTCCATGGTTTTTACACGGTGCCATGTCTTATAGAGTTTCTTTTATTGACTTTAGATAGGAGCATGAAGCATCCATTTGAAATAATTCGCAAAATGCAGACAAGAAGAGAAAAAGAAATGGAACTCACTTAGCAATGCTGGCCCCTCCCACCTCTGATAACCATTGCCGATAACTTGGTATATCACCTTCCCACCTTCTCCCTGGGCCAATAAAAGCATGTCCAGTTGTAAAAACAATACTGTTGTTACGACAAATGCATTTCACTCATGCTTTTAAAAAAGATGCTTGTGAAAACTCATTCCTATTTGTTAAAGTCTCCCTAGTTTGAATGTTATTCGATGCACCACAATCTAACTCAGGAACCACAGGTGATCACAGGATCTTCACTTTGGTTCTATTTTCTGCCGTTATAAACAGTGCTTGGACGAGGTCATCAACAGTTTGCCTTTCTAGTCCTGAATTATTTCTTCAGGATGAATTCTTACAAGTAGAGCTGCTGGGTTGAAGGACTTGCACTTTTCCACGTCTTGCCAGATTGCCCTCCACAGAGGCTGACCAATCAGGTTTCACACTCACCAATCTTCACTCTAGTCAGAGGAGACCAGACTGTGTCCACCCTGCCAGAGATCCAAGGACCTGGCTTTGGCTCAACTTTCCCACAAGCCACGCATCTGCCTGGAGGTGCCGAACTGATAGCCCACGGACCATCTTGTTTTGAATCCATGATGCTTTAAAAGATTTGAATTAGGAATCAATTGCGATTCATGGACCACTTCACACAAAAATCTGGCTTCTGTTTCAGAGGAGTAACTGTGCCTCACCCTCTAGAGGGGTCGTGCGTTCCTGAAGTTTGCCCCAGTCCCCACCTCTCCCTACTGACACCCGCCTGCTCCGTTCATGCACTTACCAGGCCCCTGTAGGTTTTAGGATTTGCAGCCCATGTATCTTAATTTCTTTCCCCTGTTGAAAGTGGGCCCACCAGCAAAGAAGCTCCATGCTTTTTCATTCTGATTAACTGAAGTATTAATTTTTAAAAAAACAAATCCTATTTGTAATAATAATATTCAGGTTAATCATTTAGAAAGAAGCTTCAGAGAAACCCCGAATGTCTTTAACCAATATAAAATATCATGAATCACTTTGGACTCCACAGTGCATTATGTATTTAAAAACAGAAAATTAGACACAGGAGAATTCATCTTAACTTCGTTATATATGAAATATTAATTCTCTTCTGGCTTTCATATTATTTACATATTTAATAACATGTTAGCTCCGGTCTTTGACTGAGAGCAATTAGAGGCCAGGGGCTGTCTCCTGCCTTAATCTTAAAGATGCCAAAATGTTGTGATGCTGTGGGGAGAAGGAAATGCTAAGTAGACGCTCTGGTTTCCATTTCTGTTTTCATATGTCATAATTTGTTAACTGAATGCTCCTCTTAAACAGAATATTGGTGACTTTGGTTGACCCAGGGAAAATGCCACCCTCATTCCTCTCTCTCTCTCTCTCTCTCTCTCTCTCTCTCTCTCTCTCTCTTTCTCTCTCTCTTTCTGCTTTAGCAGGGAAGAAGAGATTGTGGTCAGGCTCTTCTAAAAAACAAGGGCAAATATTGATCCAATATTTGTTGCCTTTCTTAGGTCCTCTTAGAACCTCGGTATTCTCATCAGTAAAGTGGGATAAAGGAAGAGAGAGGTTGGATTTCTGTGAGGGGATTAAAGCAAATGAACACACAGACCTGTGTCTGACATGGAGCAGATTTCTAATCAAGGTTGGGTCCTTCCTGGCCACAGGGATGGGCACAGCCTTGGGCCTCCGTGCCATTCTTGGTGTTTCCCCAGAGCCTGGCCTGTGGCCCTGCCATCCTGTCACTGGGCGTCCATGTGAGTCTGATCAATAGGTCACAATGATGAACACTGTCTCTGGGAGCCACACCCATGGTCACAGCTACAAGTCGGTCTTGGGAGGTCAACAGCCTTGACCTGGGACAAGAAGGATGCGGGGGGATTGGAGGGCTGCATAAGGCAGTGGAGAGAAGGGGTGTGTACAATGTGTGCACAACAGAGTAGGTGACAAGCTTGGTGCAGAACGATGGTGAGCAGCTCAGCCCTGGGGACACAGGAGTGAGGCATGAGTGGAGTGGAGGGGCTGGCTCCCCATGGCTTTTAAGATGGTAGAGTACCAGCGTTATAAGGGACTTTGGGGAAGTCAAGAGAAGGGGATCGTCCTCTGGGGCCCTGGGCCTGATCATCCACATTGCAGATACCCACGGGGTCCCCATGGCCTAGATATTGGTAGCCCTTTTGTTAGTTAAATTTTTTTTTCTAGGTCCAACTTGCAATTTTGGAGTTCCACTCAGTCTTTTATTCGCCACTCATTTATGTCATTCCCCTGGTCTTTGCTCTCAACCAAGGCCCTCTTTCAATTTTAGGAACGAAAGGAAGTGCAGACTTAAGAATGAGAAAGGACCCCAAAAACTTGACACCACGAAAACAAATAATCCAATCAATAAATGGGCCAAGGAAGGAACGCCACAGATACTTCAGAGAAGAAGAAATACAATCTTTCAACAAATATATGAAAAAATGTTCAAGACCTTTAGCAATCAGAGAAATGCGAATCAAAACTACTCTAAGATTTCATCTCACCCTAGTTGGAATGGCAATTATCAAGAATACAAGAAACTACAAGTGTTGGTGAGGATGTGGGGAAAAAGGGTACGGTCATACCTTGCTGGTGGGAATGCAAATGTGCAAACAATGTGGAGAGTGGTGTGGAGATTCCTCCAGTAAACTTGGAATGGAACCACCATTGGATCCAGCTATCCCCCTTCTCAGTTTATACCCAAGGGACTTAAAATCAGCATGTTATGGTGATGCGGCCACATGAATGTTTATAGCAGCTCAATTCACAATAGCTAGACTATGGGACCAACCTAGGTGCCCTTTAATAGATGAATAGATAAAGAAAATGTGGTATATATACTCAATGGAATATTACTCAGATTTAAAAATCAAATCACAGCATTTGCTGGTAAATGGATGGAGCTGGGGAATATCGTGCTAAGTGAAATAAGCCCAACTCCCCCCAAAACAAAAGCCAAATGTTTTCTCTGATATGCGAATGCGAATTCCCAGTGCGGGGCGGTGTGCTAGAGTTACTTTAGATTAGGTAGAGGGGAATGAAGAGAGGGGAGGGGGTGTAGGGGTAGGAAGTAAATGAATCAGACATTATTACCCTACGTACAAGTATAACTATACGACGGGTGGGATTCTGCATCACGTACATCAAGAAGAATGAGAAATTGTATTCCGTGATATATGATGTATCAAAGTGCATTCTACTGTCATGTATTACTAATTAAAGCAAATTAAAAAAAACAGGTACCATTGGCTTAGGCTGCACACTGGGTCAGAAGTGCCCTGTAATTCCCTCCAGGCTTTCTGTCACCTGGCCCAAGACCCTTGGAGGAGCCCAGATGGAGCCCTGTGAATAATGAGGAGTCCCCTGCAGGCCGCTGGGATGTCAGAGATCCTGGGCTTCGTGCTGGAAGAGAAGGTGAGCCCTGCAGCTGCTGGTGCAGCAGGAACCAGGCTGCTGTCTGGCCACCAGCTCTTAGTGGGAGGCGGAGGAGACATCAGTGTGTTCTCCAGTCACGTCTCCAGCTCCTCCAACACAGTTAGCGGCAGAATTCCTCAGGGGCTTTTCCAAAAGGGTTTCCCAGCTACTCAGCAATGGAACTTTGGAGCCTGAGTGTAGGGGAGCTGGGTGTGCAGTGTTCCCACCTTGTACCCCGGATGCGTCCATCAGGATTAATGTCACCCCAATGAATGCAAGAGGAGTGAAGGATGGCTTGTGGCCTGTTGTGAAGTGTTCCAATCCATCACGGCCACCCTCCCCAAGTGAGACCCAGAGAATCTGTGACATGCTACTGGAGGAATCAGGCCCTTGCTCTACCAAAACACCCCAGGCTCTGATTCTAGGGATCAGGGGGCCCAAGGCAGGGGTCCAGCTGATGGAGCTTTCAGCCACATCAGAGATAAAGGTGACACCCGAGCCACACTGTGGGAGCAAGTCTCCTCCTCCTGGCATTTCTGAACCTTTATGTACATCCTCTATCCTTTGAGCACTGGGCGTGGGGTTCAGGGCTGAGGGCCAAGTGGGAGCCCCCACATTACAGTTGGGAAAGTCGGGTCAGCAGTTCCAGGCAGCTTGGACTCTGTGGCAGGTAGAGAACACTTGTAGATTTGTCTCTGCTTCCTACATGCTGTGTGACTTGGCCTTGGTTAATAACCCTCTCGGGGCCAGAGTTTCTCTGTTTGTAAAGTGGCAGAGTTAGAACAGAGGCTGTCTTCTCTAACATCCACACTCATCTATTGTTTTAGAGGCTGGGTTTTTCCTTCTTTCTTTCTTTTTTTTTTTTTTTTTTAAATAGCTTTATTGAGACACAATTCACATACCATACAATTCCCACATTTAAAGTGTGCTACAATTCAATGTTTTGGGGGTATATTCACGGATATGTGCAGTCATCATCATTGTTGATTTTAGAACATTTTCATCACCTCAAAAAACAAAAACAAGAGCAAAAATAAATAAATAAATAAATAAATAAATAAATAAATAAATAAACGGGCTTGGTGTTGCTAGGTGTGACCACACATGGCTACAATCTCAGCTACTCTGGGGCTGAAGCAGGAGGACCCTGGCTCAAAGTCAAATAAGAGGAGGGTTGTGAATGTAGCTCATTGAAGGGTGCTTGCCTGGCTTGTGCAAGGCCTGGGGTTCCATCTCCAGTAACCCCTCCCCAAAGCCTCTGCATCTTTTAACTATCACATCCTTGTACCCTCATCCCCATCATATAATTTCTGTCTCCATAGATTTCTCTATTTTGCACTTTCATGTGAATGGACTCATGAAATGTGGAAAAATTCATCCCTTTTTATAGCTGAATACTATTCTATTGTGTGGATATACCATATTTTGTTTATCGATTCAGCCTTTGATGGATATTTTTGCTTGTTTCTGTCTTTTGGCTCTTATAAACACTGCTGGATAAACATGTGAGTAGAGGTTTCTATGTGGACATCTTTCCATTTCTCTTGGGTATTTACTTAGGAGTGAATTGCTGGGTTGTATGGTTGCTCTATGTTTAGGCTTTTGAAGAACTATCATAGTGTTTTCTAAAGTGGTGGTGCCATTTTACACTCCCACCAGCAGTGTATGGGGTTTTATTTTATTTTTTTTTTTTACATCCTCATCAGCATTTATTGTTTTTGATTCCAGACATCCCCACGGATGTGCAGTGCTAGCTGAGTGTGATTTTGATTTGCATTTTCCTAATGACTCATGCCGTTGACCATCTTTCATGTGCTTATGAGCTATCTGTGTATCTCTTTGGATGTTAAGATCTTTTTGAAGCCTTTGCGCATTTATTAATTGGGTAATTTGTTCCTTTGTTATCAAGTTGAAAGAATTCATTATATATTGTACATGTAAGTTTTTTATCAAATACATGATTGGTAGATATTTCCTCTCCTTGTATAGATTGTCTTTCTGCTTTGGTGACAGTATCCTTTGAAACACAAAAACTTTTGATTTTGATGGAAATACGATGTTGTTGTTTGTTTTGTTGCTTGCAATTTTGGCATCATAGCTAAGATCATAAAGGTCATAAAGATTGACCCTTGTGGGTTTTTTTTTAAGAATTAAAAAATTTTTGCTCTCTTATTTTGGTTTTTGATCAACTTCGAGGTAGTTTATGCATATAGCAGGAGGTATTGGTGTGGCTTCATTCTTTTGCATGTGCTCAGCTTCATTTTTCTGAAGGTTCTTCTTTTACCATTGGATGGTCTTGATGCCCTTGTCCAAAACCATTTCACTGTAGATATACAGGTTTGTTTCTGGATTCTCAATTTTATTCCATTGACATAGATATTTATGCTTGTGCCAGTACCACACTGTCTTGATTACTGTTGCTTTGTAGTAAGTTTTGAAATTGGGAAGTACAACTCTTCCTGCTTTTTTTTTTCTCAAGAAATTTTGGCTCTTTTGGGTCATGTGCAATTCTATATGAATTTTAGAATCAATTTCTCAGTTTCTTACAAAGAATTCAGCTGAGAATCTGAAAAAGATTGCTTTAAATATAGAGATCAGTTTGGGAAGTATTGCCATCTTAAGTCTTAATACTGTCTTTCAATCTATGAATTTGGGATTTTTTTCTCCTATTTACTTATTTAGATATTCTTTAATTTCTTTAAAAATGTTTTATAGTTTTCAGAGTGTAAGTTTTACACTTTTTATTAGATCTATTTCTAAATATTCTATTCTTTTTGTTGCTATTATAATTGGATTTTTTTTTTCAGTTTTGCATCACTGAGAATATACAAAAAAAACCCCAATTATTTTTGTATAGTGGTCTTATATCTTGCAGACTTGCTGAACTTGTTTATTAGTTTTAATAGATTTTTTTAAAGTGAGTTCTTTAGGAGTTTAATCATATAATGGTGTATCATCTAAAAATAGTAACAGTTTTACTTCTTCCTTTCCAATCAGGGTAACTTTTAATTCTTTTTCTTGCCTAATTGCTTTGGTTACAATCTCTAGTACAATGTGAATAGGAGTGGTGAATGGACATCCTTGTCCTGTTACTGATCTTAGAGGGAATGTACCTCTCTTTTATTGTTAAGTGTGAAGTGAGCTGTGGGATTTTCACAGATACTGTCAGATTGAGTTCTCTTCTATTCCTAGTTTGACTCATATATTTATCTGGAAAGTGTTGATTTTGTTTTTCAAATGGCTTTTTATGTGTCTTTTGAAATGATCAAGTGATTTTTGTGATCTGTTCTC